GCGGTGGCCGGGAGCGGCCACTGCACTCCAGTCTGGGTGACAGAGTGAGACTCCGACTCACAAAAACAAAAACAAAAAAAGTCAGCATTTGGCACAGATACACGCAAACTAGTGAACAAACTGGGTATATTTGAGAGTTGTAGCTACAATAATTGGTCAAGTCAAAAGGAATACAATTTTGCACTCATGTAGGGCTTTATTGCTATAAAGACTTCCAAATTCATTCCTTCATTTATTTTCATAACCCTGATTCTAACCCTTTAATATAGGTCCTGCTTGCTTCATTTTACAGATGAAGAAACAGGGAGATTAAGTAATGTGCCCATGATCACATTTAGTCAATGTCAAGTTAGGACTCAGATTCTTCTGTTTAGTTCTCTTTACAATGCTTTGGCTATATCTGAAAAGTGTAGTGACACACACGGCCTCAAATCTAATGCCGAAAGAAGGTAGGATGTAAACTATAATGATAAAAAAAAGATATTCTGGACCAATTTGGGCAAAATTCCCTCATTTTCTCTATCCAATAGTACCCAACCACTCCCACCACTCAACCTGTCGTCACCACATCTCTAGGTATCTCTGCAGAAAAAAAGAAAGGAAAAAAGGGAAGAAATAAAGTAAAAGTACCATGGTATGACATCTGAGGGCTTTCCAGAAGTATTAGCCACTGCTACCAATGATAAAGGCAATGAGCAGATTGAGACCCTAACATGTGCCAGGCACCAGGCTTGAAGCCTCATTTAAAACGAATACGATCATCAGCTCTTTGGGTAGGCAATATCGTCCCCACTTTACAGATGACAAAACTGAGGGTCAGAGAAGTAATCGCCCAAGATCATGCATTTAGTAAGTGGGGGTGGGGTGGGGATTTGAGCCTCATACTCTCTAAAACATTAATCTTGGTAACACACATGATTTAAATAAATATAAAAATACTTCAATATTAGAAATTCACCAGACTTAGAACTGAAGATGAATTGAAGTTTATATAATACATAAAAATCAAAGTATATGTATATTTGTTTTCTAAGTATTTTTAGAGCACATATCCACATAGAAAATACATTTTTTCCTATTTGTTGAGTTAATTTTTTTTCTTTGGAGTCTCATTCTGTCGCCCAGGCTGGAGCACAGTGGCACACTCACAGCCACCCCAGCATTAACCTGCTGGGTTCCCGTGATCCTTCTGCCTCAGCCTTCCAAGTAGCTGGAACTATAGGAGCGTGCTACCATGTCTGGCTAATTTTTAAAATTTTAATTTATTGTAGAGATAAGGTCTTGCCAAGTTGTCCGAGCTGGTCTCGAACCCGTGGGCTCTGGCAATCCACTCGCCTCAGCCTCCTAAAGTGCTGGGATTATAGGCTGAGCCACCTTTCAGATACGACTTCTCAATGAATTTTGGGACTGACATATTTTGTTACAAAGTTTTTCTCCCCACCACTCACCAGCCTGACCTATTTCATCATCTGGTTTTCTTTTTTTGTTTGTTTTGCTTTTTGTTTTTGAGCTGGAGTCTCACTCTGTTGCCCAGGCTGGAGTGCCGTGGCATGCTCCCGTCCACTGCAGTCTCAACCTGCTGGACTCAGGCAATCCTTCCATCTCAGCCTTCCAAGTAGCTGGAACTACAGGCATGTGCCATCATGCCCAGCTAATATTTTGGTTTATTGTAGAGATGAGGTCTCACCAAGTTGCCCAGGCTGGTCTTGAACCTGTGAGCTCAGGCAATCCTCTCACATCAGCCTCCCAAAGTGCTGGGATTATAGGCATGAGCCACCACACCCAGTTTATCATCTGGGTTTCAAAGGTTTAGTGAAGTCTGATGGGGTTTGAGGTCTCTAAAACACTAAACTTCTAGTCATCCTTTAAGTTCGCTTTCAGCAATTGTGTCTGAAATGTCAATCTGGAAAGAGGCATTGCTGCTCTGCTACGGTTGCCATCTGGAGTAGGATGACTAGGCCCCAGCCTCTACCACCTCTCTTCTCTGTCTTTCTTGCCACTAGGGCTGGTCAAGTGACCATTCCTGGCCTATGAGATTAGGCAGAAATGTGCTGAGTGGAAGCTTCCGGGAAGCTTACCTAATAAATGGGACACTTGGCTGGCATTGCCCTTTCTCTATTCCTTCTAAATGTCTTTTATGAGGACTCTGGGATGCGAGGGGCAGCAGTCTTTTTGCAATCTTTAAGCACGAGGAAATCAAGCAGCTAAGCCACTAAGCCCACACTAGTAGCTGCTTACACCTGGGCTCCTTGTTCTGCAAACAGACCTCATTTGGGTCCAGCTGTTGAAGCTGGGTTTTATTACTTGCAGCTGAACACATTCCTTACCGATAGACCAACCATCACAAAGCTCTTAATACTCTTTGGTGATATCATTTTATTTCTAGAAAACATATGTGAAACCAGCAATGTGATTATCTTTTCTTTTTTTTTTTGAAGCATGGTCTCACTGTGTCACTCAGGCTGGAGTGCAGTGACACAATCACAGCTCACCACAGTCTCAACCTCCTGGCCTCAGGAGACCCTTCTGCCTCAGCCTCCCAAGCAGCTGGGACTACAGATGAGCCATCACATCTGGCTAATTATTAAAAAATTTTTTTAGCGATGAGGTTTCGCTATGTGGCCCAGGTTAGTCTTAAACTCCTGGGCTCAAGCAATCCTCTCGCTTCGGCATTCCAAGTTCTGGGATTACAGGCGTGAGCCACCATGCCTGGCCTGATTATCTTTTTTAATTTACATTTTTCTCAGGAAATGAAATGATGCATGGATTGTTTTATTCGGCAAAACTCACAGGTGCAGGTAGTGTGTTCTCCTTGGGAACTGAGCGCCTATAATTAACCTAGTTGTTCATGGCAACTTGGGAATAACATTATTATGCTATCTTATAGACAACTACCCTGCCAACACCCAGAATTTCAGTTATCTTCACTTACCAAAACAACAGCCTTAGTTTCTCTGGACATGCTGCTTCAAAACACACACACGTGATTTAATAAAACAAACACAAGCGTATGCCTTCCCACCCAATGGTAATAATCAGAGTAACTGGAGATTGTGGAAATGCAAACATTAGCCATTTAACCATACAAGAAATTGAATGAAGGAGATTCAAATTCAGAGGTAGGAACTGAAATCCCCAGATTAAAAACTGAATGAGGGCAGGCATAGTGGCTCATGCCTGTCATCCCAGCACTTTGGGAGGTGGAGGCGAGAGGACTGCCTGAGTCCAAGGGTTCAAGACCAGCCTGGGCAACCTGGTGAGACCTTGTCTCTACAGTAAATCAAAAAATTAGCCGGGCTGGTGGTGCACGCCTGTGGTTCCAGCTACTTGGAAGGTTGAGGCAGAAGAATCACCTGAATCTAGCAGGTTGAGGCTATGGTGGCTGTGAGCGTGCCACTGCACTCCAGCCTGGGCGACAGAGTAAGACTCCGACTCAAAAAACAAAACAAAACAAAACTGTGAATGAATGAAGCCGCTCATGTTTAACAGCCTCTGACAGTTAATTTTGGCTTCCTCTAGCTGAAACATGGGTACATGTGCATGTGTACCCATGTACCCACCAACTCACCTGAATTCCTTGTTCCAGCTTCTTCCAAGTCCCATTAATAGGGGCTCTGCTGGGGTACTCAAACACACTGGGTCCCGGTTGTTTAATTTATTTATTCATTTTTTCCCATAAACCACACATGAGACA